GCAATGTTTTACTACTGTAGAAAGAACAGTAGATTCTTCCATTTTGTCTCACTGTAGCTTTTTTTTTTTTATTGAGAGAAAGCAACGACGTCATTTATCTTATGTGTTTGATACAGTGACTTTGTTGCTTTTCCTCAATTTACGCGGCATGGAGGATTATGTCATAGAGCCTTATTTACTCTTTCTCCATTTTTACACGCTACAGTTATGCCTCTCTATTTCTCCACACTAATTCAAGAGCAAAAGTGTGAATTTCATAAATATATGATTGAAAATATGTTTAAAGAAAAATAAATTTTAAAAAATGAAGACCAAACATGTTAACAAATGAATATATTTATTTTTCGAAAAATAAGTTTTTATTACCATTTCATTTTTATCGTGAAATAATTATAATTTTAATATGTTAGATTATGCTTCAAAATTACATAATCTATCAAATATAATTTTTAAAATTAATTTTTATAAAATAATATGTTTTTATGAATTTCTTTTTTTTAGTAAAGTAATTTTTCTAGTAAAGTAAATGGAGGCTCGTGTTGAGGCCTCCAGAATTACGAAGGCTCAAGCATGAGCCTCCGTAATAACGGAGGCCTCAACATGGAGGCCTCCATGTTGAGCCTCAATAACATTTTATTTTTTAAAATTAATAAAAATTTAATTATTTTATATTTTTTCGTACTATTATATTTTACTTTCCAAAAAAAAAAATCATAAAAATATATTACTTTATAAAAATTAATTTTAAAAATTATATTTGATAAATTATGTAATTTTGAAACACAATCTAACATATTAAGATTAGAATCATTTCACGATAAAAATGAAATGGTAATAAAAACCCATTTCTCGAAAAATAAATATATTCATTTATTAACATGTTTGGTCTTTATTTTTTAAAATTTATTTTTCTTCAAACATATTTTCAATCATATATTTATGGAATTCACACTTTTGCTCTTGAATTAACTCTCTCAATAAATTATTATTTAAACGGTTCGTAAACATTTTGATTGATATTATTTTTTGGTCATCCAAATGGTTATTATATACCTTTTACGTACATATATAAAAATAATATTTTTATTTAAA